ATGACACCAGAACAATAGGTATCTATGAGTTCTCTCTTGTATAATTTAAGCCTTATTATAGAATCAACAATCCAGTTCTAAGAATCATCAAATCTTATTAACCAAGCTGAACAGAATATGTACATTAACTTTATTAAAACTGGTTTGCAATAATTTTTTTAAAGTTATTTTGAACTCTTTAGTAATTAGTAGCATCATAAACCAATTGTAATTCTGTAATATAAAGAGATAGAATAATGCTTCTCAATGTTTCTTCTGCTGAGGGGTTACATTACATATTTGTTAAAATGTAAAAATATTTAATTTTATATTTCTTCAAAAATTTGTGGATTTCCAGACAGATATTAGGACTTGTGAAAGCTGAAAGCTTCATTCCTACTATCTAGCTTTCATAGTGCTAGTAACTCTATGCAGACTGCTGGAGAAGAAAAGTAATCATCAATCAATCCATCATCGAAATTCATATCAATTCAGTGACCTACAGGAATGACTGGCCTGGGAAGATTTGTTCACTGGCAATACCGGCATGAATATCATGGAAGTAACCAACCACTTTGTCACTGAATTTTAGTCCTGTTCCACAAGATGAAACCCATATATAGCTCATTTATTTGTCCTAGAAACTATGTCTAGATAATCCATCAGCCATATGAGAGAATCTTCTACTATTATGTTGCTAAACAGACATAGTAACCAAGTCCCAAAAAACTTATTAAACCCATAAACCAGCACATTTCTCAACATTAATCTAAGACATCCCTATTTCTAGGAGATGGTGACTCAAAAATGGCCAAGTTTCAGTGATGTCAGAATACTCAGCCCTAAAGGGAACATATGGCTCACACATAACCTCTCCCAAGTCCCAGAGATCATTACAAAAGAAGGGTCATAAAGAATGTAAGTTCCCAGGCTGGTGGATGACTCTAAGAGAACCACAGGTTAGCTACCCATAGAAGTCACAGAAATCACAGAAGCATAAACACGATACAATCCCTAGCCATAAGAAATCCCTGCCTGGACAGGGAAGTTGAGCACATTATTCCTCCCCAGGATCAAGGAGCTGTTGACCACTGTTGCTGTAGGAAGAGTGAGAGATAGTTTTCTCTGAGTGCATCCCCTATTAAGTTATACGTCTAAGAATATTTAGAGAACATAAATTGGTCTTGAAGCATTAAAAGAAGAAATGAAAGAAAGAATGAGAAAAGAAGGTCAAAAAGTTATATGAGTAGGGAAGGGAACTGAGTTGAGAAAGTCGGATGGTAAATGCGATCAAAAGCCCTTTGTATGAAAATCTCAAAGAAAATATAAATATAAAAATAATTTTGAAATATTATTGGCAAAAGTAAAAAATTGAACAACTACCTCTAACCAGATAAAGGTCCTTACCTTACCAGAAAAAGATAAATCATTATACTTACATCAGATAACAGATCTTATATTTACTTATGTTAAACACAGTGGCATTGAACTTTTATTTTTACACTAAATGTAACATAAATTTATTCATAACTTAGAGTATTTAAAACACATTGTCACATTGAATTCCTTGTATTTTTTTAATTTTATGAGATTTAAAAATACATTTTCATTTGGATGGTTTTATTTGCAAATACCATGTGTATTAACTACAATCTTGCACAGCAAAGAATTCTTTCAATCACAATTTTCTACTTTTGCTCATTAAAATACACATTTTCACAGGTTATAGTCAAAACACATCCCATAGAATATTTTTCTCAGAAGAAAACATAACCTACATGTTTCTCAGGTAACCAAGTTAACAATTTTTAGTGTCCATAAATCAAAATATAACCAAGTAATATATACTAAATACTCATTTCTAAAATTGATAAAGTTGTGATTTAAAGAAAGCAGATGCGGAATGAGGCAGAAACAGGGCTAGCTTATGTCAAAAGTGGATGAAAACAAAACTGTAAGCAGGAGAAACTTAAAGTCTGTATGTTTAGAATATGATGCAGGGTCACCTGGAATTTTACGGTGACAGTGAGTTAGTAAATGGCGAGTCAGAGTCCTGCTTCTTCCCTCTTGTCTGTTTGTCAGCCTTAGTGACAGTCGCTCTTAACACACAGATAACATAATGTGCAGTCTTGAGTGGGAATGTGTGCCGCTCATCCAATGGATACCACAAAAGAGTCTTTGGCCACGAACTTATGCCAACCACCAAGTTCCTGAATAGACTCACAGATTTATTTTTTTCTCCAAGCTATTTATAATTTGTAACAAATGAAATATTATTTTCACACAACATACTTTAAATCTAGAAACTTGGTTACTAGATAGTGATTTGAATTTTATAACTAAAGTATTTTTACTTCAGTTCTAATCACTAAAATCAAAAGCAAACCAAATATGGCAAATTCAAAGCAACTATTATTTCACCTGATCCAAACACACAGTTTTGCCTGCCAGTCACACAGAGCAACAGGACTGTAATTAGCCAATTACTCATTGGATTCCCAAATTCATCTTCACAACAAAACACCAGAATCAAAAGACAATGCAGAATTTTCTTTTATGTGAGAAAAAAATCTTATTCTATACCTAATTTTCAGCGTTTACCCCAAAACAAACTTGACCAGAATTCTTTTGAAATTCACACCTAAGAATCCTTGTCTTACCTTGTTTGTAGATAAACATTCACAGCGAATACTTCAAATACCTCTGGCTCTCATTGTCGTAGTTCAGAATATGACTATTAATATGTCTTAGTGTGACACTTATGTGAAAAAGGATGCTGTAACAATATGCTTTGGTAATTTTTCTCTCTGTTTTTTGGATTATCTTCTTCGCATAAAATTCCAACAATTTTATTTTGAAAGAAACTGGCTCAAATCCAACTATTACAGATTTAATACTTTAAAATATTCATTTTGACAGTGGATTTCAACCTTCCTAATGCTATAACCCTTTTATATATTTTCTCATGCTGTGGTGACCCCAACCATAAAATTATCTTAGTTGCTATTTCATGTCTGCAATTTTGATTCTATAATGAATCAAAATGTAAATATTTGACATTTCCAATGGTCCTAGGCAGACTATGTGAAAGGGCCGTTTTGAACCTTAAGGGAGTCACTACCCACAGGTTGAGGAGGACTCCTTCTTTACACCATTCCATTAACAACTTTAGGTTCCTTTCCATTTTAAGAGTTTAATGAGAAGCAGCTTATGACTGAACATGATTCAGTGGAGCAAACTAAAGAACAGACCAAACTGAGAAAAATCTCATCTTCCATGTCAGTACTGATTGAGTGAGTTCTTCATTTTTTTTTTAAGCTGCATAATTTGTTGTGCTGTAAGTCAACCACATTGTGGTTTTTAAAGGCAAAATGTAAACATGCATGTAGGATTCAAATCAATATGAAGTTCATACTAGTTCTAAAGATACAGAGGAAGCAACATTTTGAAGAGGAAACAGAAGGGAAAGGGAAAGTTTCCATTTACTTTAATCACAAAGCTCACTGTAAGAAATTGTGCCGTGACCACAGCTACCTGTCAGAAACCACACCAATGGTGTGGCTACAAACACTAGCTCCATACTTAGCATTTCGATGAATTCCTAAGTAGCATTTTCAGTCTACACATTTATCACTTCTTAGTACTTTAAATTGAAGAAATTTGAAAAAAAAATAAAATGATAGCTAGCTATTAAAATGACCAAATTATATAAATAAGAACACAGAGGTATTAAAAGCTTTCATGTGAAAATGTTCTGTAAGTATAACATAAGAAGACTAAGGTACTTAGGGATGATTATGACACTTCTTTCTTTACCTTCTAATAAGCAGAGTTTCCAATGGCGAGAAGCACATCCTAACCCAACAAAATGATTCTAGCTGAACAGGTATGACCAGACACTCCTGTCAGCAAAACACACCTAAACAGTGAGCTGCAGAAATATGCTCTACCTGTATTGATTAAGGGCATCCACTATACCATCCAGTCAACTGCATCACCTTGTCAAAAGATCTAATGAGAGAGTAAAAAAGCTCATTTTCTCAACACGGAAATAACACATGTATGATAGCAAAATGATACGAAATTATATGAATATAATTCGGCACTTTTTTTTTTCTAAATTTAGAAGACAAAATCATGAGTAGAATATCCCTTTAAACATAATGGTTTCCAGTCTTGAAGCTGTGATAAAATATTTAGAACAATTAATTTACCAAATATAAACTTTCAGAGACTCATTGTGTTTTTAAACAAGTTACATTAAAATACCACAAATAATTTTGATTAAATACTGTGTTTTGTTCATCATTGTCAAACTTTGACCTACTCACATTGGCAGAACTGTGGGTTATCTTTTAAAACGTGATGGGTAAATAAAAAGTTATTTTACCAAGATAAAGTGTTTCTATATTTTTCTTCAAGGATCTCAGCTTTGACTCTAACTTTTTTATAAAAACTGAATTGAACTGTTACCTTGGTAAATGAATGAATGCATTTCCAAGCTGAATCAGTCAAAAAAATATAGCCAGAGAAATTATTCTTTATTTTTATGGGACCACAGGAAAAAAGTAAAAGAGAAGAAATGCCTGTATGATAAGGGTAAACAGTAACTTCCTCATAATAGTACTGTATTTCTTAAAATACAGGGTTCTAGAAGGAAGCATAAACTGCATCTAAGACCACAGCCAACCTAAAGCTATTTTTTTCCCACAACACCGAAGAAGTAAATATTTGTTCAGTGACTTGGTTCTTGAAGCCTTTGCCATTGCTAGTGTTTCATACTTCTGTATCGTCAAACCACAAACTACATCTCAACAATCAATGTCTTTATTACTTTCTGCTGCTTAAAGATTTTCCCAAGTTTCCTTTACTTAATGAGTAAACATTCAAAGAACTCATTGAATCTTTCAAAAATTTAGGTTCAAAAAACAGTGTCATTAAGCAAAGAAGATAGCCAAACAAAACCAAACTTTCATCACATAGATTATGCCGACTGGTGAAAGGAGCAAGAGATGCCTTACCAAGTACCCCAAGCCGATAGTTGACTGTGATGACGATCACATTGCCATAGCTTGCCAAGACACTCCCGTCATAGAGATTTCCAGTCCCTTCCATGTAAGAGCCGCCATGGATATACACCATCACTGGTTTGGGACCCCCACTGTCCCGAATATCTGCAAAGCAAATGGTTGGCAATTATTCTCATCCTCAACAACATGCATAAGGAAAGGTAGTACATTTTGCAGTTTAAGGATATATAAGGTCATGATTTTAATGTTTTTAAATTGGTCTTTTTCTTAAAGTGTTTCTTAAGCAATTCCTACTAAGAACTACTGAAAAAAAAAATAAAAGAGGAACAGGCACCCATTGTTTTTCTGTCTAAAACTTTCTTTTCAAGAGTTGGACCTGGTATTCATGAAATATAAAGTAAGGACAATGGTTCATTTCCATAGGGAGTCAAGTAATCAGTCCCTGTCCTATTACTGTGGAGCTTCGTATCAAACACAACATGATTACATTAAGTCATTTATGCTCCCATTTGTGAATATAATTAAACCAGTGTATTATTCACTTCAGAGTTATTTTCTTTGCTTAAGTAGGTCAGATATTTGTTTAGACAGTAAAATTATGTGCATTTGAGCACTTGCTGTTGACACATTTTTGTGAATGTCATTTACATGATCATGCTGTTCTTTGAAAAACCATGGCGTTCACCCATCCAACCCAAACTTAATCTTTGGAAGAAAAAAAAAATGACAAAATTAAATTTGCACTGCCTCCTAGCTGATGGAGTTAATCATTTAGATGTGAGATGATCAAGTATAGAATGGCAACTGTGATTTTGATGAGACTGTCTCCCATTCTTAGTCACTGTCATTTTATTTTGCTAAGTTACACTGACCAGAACTGGGTGATTTTTCAACAAGAATGCAGAAATAACATATAAAAAACAGTGATTTAATCAATTTCAAAAAATAAAGTAATTTCCTTTGAAACAGCTCTCCTGTGTTTTGATTCAGTCACAAACATTGAACATATTAAACTATGACTATAACTAAAACATTATTATTCTGTAGCCCTGTATGTTAACAAGCAAACTTGTATCAAGTATATTATATTAACACTGGTTTGAAAGTATCGTTTGACGATATAGTTTAACTTCTTTAGAATGTTTTTATCAAACCAAACTCTTCTACAAACTTGCAGTCAAGACCCCAGCACTCAGTAGAGGCATAAGATACAAATAACAGAATTGTGATCATTAAGGGATTATTTTGCCCTCTCTTTAAAAATAAATGACCAATTTAAATGCCTCAATTTTTTTATTATGATAGTCACTTTTGAATGAAAACTAATTTTCAGATAAAAATTACAGTTTCTCTTGTATGTTTAGACTTCTAAGTTGAGAAAATGGTTTATGACTCAGCTTGGAGACTATTTTGCGATAACCAAGTATGGGGGCAAGTGTTAATCTATTATGTGTTTTTAGTTTCTTCATTTTTTAAAATTTATTTTCAGGTTAGCATAAAATTAATGGGCTTCATTATGACATGTTCACACATTAGCCATTACACTTGTTGTAAGTTGTCCCTTTAAGAAAGGTGAGTTCAAAATGATGCACTCCCTGTATGTAAGCATGAATTCTAGCTTCCCCCCTCTTCCTGCCCAGAAGTATGTGCTTCACCAGAACGCCCTGCTTATGAGTGAGAAGAACATTTTGTTCTGTTTTGTTTTGCTTTTAGTGTCAGTAGGTTTTTATTTATCTTTTTAAATTTTATTTATTATTTATTACAATTTATTCACTTTGTTTCCAGCTGTTTCCTCCTCTCCTTCCTACCCTCTCCCCCTCATCTTCTCTCTAGTCCAAGGATAGGGGAGGTCCTCCTCCTTTTCCCTCTGACCCTAGCCTATCAGGTTTCACCAGGACTGGTTGCATTGTTTTCCTCTGTGGCCTGGTAAGGCTGCACCCTCCAGAGGGAGGTGATCTGAGAGCCTGCTACTGAGTTTCTGTCAGAGACAGCCCCTATTCCCCTTACTAGGGAACCCACATGGACACTGAGTCTATGGGCTACATCTAAGCAGGAGTTCTAGGTCCTATCCATGCATACTTCTTGGTTGGAGTATTGGTCTCTGCAAGATCCTCTTGAGGTGGAGTTACAGATAGTTGTTAGCTGCCCTGTGGATACTATGAATTGAACCCTGTGCTCTAGAAAATCTGCCTGTCTCTTAACCACTGAGGCAACTCTCCAGCCCCTATATTTCCTCTTATATGAAGATTCAGGGGCTTGTGGAGTTGTCATATTGAAATGGGGGGGGGTTCCTTTTTAGATTTTTAAGCTACACACATAAAAAGCCTGATTGCTACAATTTTAGCTTCTTACTTTTTTCTTGTAGGGTTGGCATTGAAGAAGCAGTAATAAATTATTAAACTGAAATCATTAGCCAAACTGTTCGCTACAGACACTGTACTCTGCTAATTGTATGCTTGGAGGAAGCACAGAGGGAGGCTGTTTCAGAATTCTCCTTTAATTAAAATTACATAGAATTACAAAGCACCCACTGTGATCAGTAATGAAGTCTTGGTAGCGGCGTTCTGTTCACCTGGAAGAAACCGGCACACATTGCGAAGACTAGCCCAGCACCTTGTAGCAGAAGCACATGGGCTAGTGTCAGGAAGTGCCAACGTGGGGAGAAGCCAGGGTCTATGCCCAGGCGGGTCTATTTCTTTTCTTTGAAATTTATACTTAAAAGAATCACAGATATTTGGGTAAATTAGAATTTCCAGTTCAGCTTTTTTAAACTTTTCAGAGATTTTGGTCTTGCCTAAGAAGCTAGCACAGCGAGTTCGTCTTTGCTAAGAAATGCAACTAAATTATAATGCTGTGTGCTCACAATATATTTTTTTCTTTTGAAGTGACTCTTAACTTCAATAATATAACTTGTGTTGCTTCCTAAAATAAAGTAAGATGGCTAAACCTAAATTAATTTACTATTTAGAAACCTTTAGAATACATTGGTATCTTCTACCATAAAATAACCAGAATTCTCTGTGTGCAGTCCATTTTTCACCTGAGTGGCAAGTATTTGCACAATCCCAAAAACTTTTCATTGTTAGTAAAAACCAGTTTAAAGTATAACTATTTGCTCTGCTTTTTAAAACAGAACAAGATATTGATAAATGGCACATATCAATAAATGGTATATAGGACATCATAATATTAAATAATATCTGTTCATGCTCTTTAATAATCACATTTTATCAGTTTCTCTAACTTATCTTCAGTTCATGTATTACATTTTTAGTAGTTAATAATAAATATTTTAAAGCCACAATGTCTTTGAAACCTTATTATTTAATTCTCTATATTGAAGATGAAGTAAATAAATTTTGTGCTTTATCTACAATTTTGACTTTGAATAACTAGCTACCTCAGACTTTACTAAAATTTGCACTTTATGGCTTCTTCAAATACTAGCTTAGTTCTAGTCAAACTGCAAATGTTCACAAGTATATTCATAATTCTGTTGTTTGTTTTTGGCCTTGTCAAACACATGGAGACTGAGAGGAGTGGAATGGTGAAGGAATTTCTACGTGGATGATTATTATCCTCTAAAATATTAAGAAAGAACTCTAGATTTTTTTCTGGCTAATAAAATAATAGAGTTGGAATATGGACCTTTGACATTATAACTATGGCATACTACAAACTAACTTTAGATCAAAGTAGAGAATGCGAATGAGCTGGACCAGGTCTCTGTGCTTGTCAGCTATGGCCCAAGATCACACATTCTCTCAATAGCCCCAGTAAATAATTGGTAGACACGTAATTCCTTAAATATGTGTACTGGTTTCTTTTTAAGGAGGCTGGACTGGTTAATTGCCCGTATTTTAGAGGTTTTGAAGATCTAATAGCTTTTTTACTTGTGAAGCATTGCCTTAATTAAATTTTTGTCTGAAACATATTAAGAGACACTTGAATACATGCCCATGCCTTTCATTCATGTTTATGGTGCCAGTTATCTTCCAGAACTGCTAGTGTAAAATAGAAGGCTTGGCTTAATTTGTTATTCTTAAGCCAGACACAAAACAACCATATACTTTGCTTACAAAATATATGGGAATCTACAGAGCAATTTTTAGGGAACTTGAACTTCTATGGAAATAATAAAATTGTGTCTAAATATTAAAATGCTCTCATTGAGATACTCTTGACACAATCAAGAATATCTCTGCAATCTTCTAAGTCCCTAAACTCACTTGAGAAAAACCTTGGATACTGTTTTGAACCATTTTTATGACTTCAGATTAGCCCATATGACAAGGTTCTTTTGGTTATTGTAAATCATAAGTTAAGAACAGTGTGCCTGTGTCTGGCCTGATGATGGCTGTAGACAGGGAATTAGAAGTAACAGTCCCTTCTGAGAAGTCCTTAAAGTAGAATGTGGTGTCTGGGACAAGGCCAGGGAATTAGGGCACAGGGGAGCTATGGAGAAGTGCCAGGTAACCTGACTTCCGGTGAGGGAACGAAGCACTGTCATTTGAGTCCTTCGCCAAAGATTCAAATTAGGTATCACATCACTTTGTTTTGTAACACACCTACAAAATAATTCTAAGAGCACTGAAAAGAGGATATTCAGACTTCACTGAATGTTTTCTTCATGAGATATCTGAATTTGTTTATTATTATTATTATTATTATTATTATTATTATTATTATTATTATTATTTGTCTCTGAATTGATTGTCCAATGCAACACAGAGAAATGGGCTGTCTCAGTGCTGAGTGCTACAACAGGGGATGGCCGTTAACACTTAAAAGCATTGCTTGACTTGGTAGCACTGCCAAAGTGGCTTTTCATGACTTGAATGACACCTGAGATTTAAGGAGGTGTTTAAGGTGTTTTTAATAATGAACTAAAGATGTTAAATGTGGTTCAAAACTGGTCTGTAAAATAGTTTCAGGTGCTACAGGGCTTAAATCACTATCAGTACTCAGTGAACCTATTCTAAGCATGTAAATACTATATAGGAGCAATCTCACTCAAAAGGAAAATCTGATTCAATCAGCAACTGAAGAAATATTAAGCTAGAGTGATGATATCTCAGTCTTCTGACTATATCACCAAATTTTGGACTTTACCAGTCTCTCCAAAAGCAGTTCTCTATACTAAC